TCTCAGATGCCCTGATGCCCATCTTGGGACCTCCCAGGAGTTCAAAGACCCCTGGGTTGGAGGCCTCTAGTAGATGATTCCATTGTTCGTCCACACTCTACATCCCACCCACACTCCACACACACTCGCTCTTGCCCTCCAGGAAGAGCAAAGGTCTCTTTGTGCCAAGCGACCCAGGAATTCATGGTCAAGGTGGGGGTTAAGAAGAAGACAGGTGGGGTGGGATGTGAGGATAAGGTACCCAGGAGAGGGAGGAACACAGAGGGGACGAGAGAGCGATGAAGCTGGGAAGGGTAGACATCAGAGGTGCTCCGGAGTCTTACCCGGTGGGCAAGAAGCTTCTAAAGAATCGGCATAGTCACCGCTCCCCAGCCCAAGAGCCAGGAGCTCCAGGAAGGTGTTCAGCACCTGGCGAGACAGGAGTGGCCCTCTGTGGCCTCTGAAACTGCTCCTTCCAGAAGCAAAATCCCTCCACAGGGCTCCCCCCCTCACCTTCAGACTAGCCTCTGGGCTAAACCCCCAAGTGTCACAGAGCCCAGGTCAGAGGCTGTTGCTCCAAAGCATCCAGGAAATATTATTTAGCCGGGATATTTTTAGCAGGAAGCGAGCTCGGAGCAAATGTCATGTGAGCCGTCTTCTCTTACACGGCAACTTTGGGCTATTTAAAGAGATGGTAATTACGCTCCTGCCACCATCATCAGGACGAGCTGAATGCGTGATTGCAGGAGCCCCCGTCTGCTGTGCGGAGCACTTTACGCTAATGGGGCCCAATTTTCGAAGCTGCCTGCCTAAATCTGTCCAGTCTCGCAGGTGGACATTTGAATCAGCACCAGAGGGGCGGGAAACTGCTCTTCGGGGTCACGTAGCTGCTCCCGAAGAGGGTGCTATGCCTTGAGACCACCCCCTCCGGAAACCCCCCGGCACGGCTGCTGCCCACCGCTGACCTCGCGCCTCTGAAGAAGGTCTCGCTTCAGACAGCGGCCGTGGTGGTGTTGACGTACATGCGCAACGCCATCAGGCTGGCGTGTTCCAGAGAAGCCACCAGCTCCCCTTGAAGGGACAGCAGCCACGGGGTCTAGAGAAACAGGACACACTCATAAGCAGTCTGGCCAAGGAGACACAGTCGCCAGGGCGTCAAGGAGAAAGTACACTTGAGGGGACACTCAGGCCACAAGGGGTTTGGGCAGGACAAGGAGGCAGGGCAGCAGGCCACTCAGGGAGGAAGGCGAACTGGACATTGCACTCCTTATATGTTAGGGGAGCAGACCCCTTGCAGGAGGGCTTGGCACATAGTAGGTGCACTATGTGGCTGAAAGAATGAATGCACCGTCACCCCTGCTGGCAATGCCACCCAGACCACCCATACACACCACCCAGGCGCAACTGGAGTCCTGTCCTCAGTTCCATTTGCCAGGCTTTAGCGGGACATTGGCAATTTAGCGGGACAATGGGGCCTGGATGGTGGGAGGGGTGCAAGGAGTCGTCCCCGGACGCTGCCCTAGGAGGTCTAGGAGGAATTCGGGAAAACACTTGAGGAAGAGGAAGGTGACTTCAAATATTCAAAGGGATGCGAAACGGAGAAGGGACCAGCTCCTTCAAGGAGGCTGCAACGAACAGACCCAGGACCAGCAGAAGGAAAGTCTGGGGAAAGAGGTGTGCGAGAACAGGTGGCCTTGCAAAGGAATGAGCTCCCCGTCACTAGAGAGACTCTTAGCAGGGAAAGGACCTCGGAGCCCCCAGCCCGGCCTCCCACCCAAAGCGGAGAGCCTCAGGCTTCCTCTCCAATGGCTTCAGGCCACTGCCTGGCAGACACCAGGGGAAGCTTCCAGCTCCGGCCACCAAGACAAAGACCCCAGAGAGTTGGCACCGTTCGCTGATCCTTCTCCAAAGGATTACAGAAGTCAAAACCTCCTGTCTCAGACTGTCCCCAAGCACTGGCTGGCAGAATCTTCTGGGAAGTTGCTCCTGCGCCACCTGTCCACTGGTGCTTCCCAGGGGCAGGGACACGGAGACCTGCAGAACAAAGAGGAAGCAACGTCTCCTGGCAAGTGGTAAGCAAAGGTGAGTGAGTAAACATTTCTGCCTGAGCACATAAGCGCTGGCAATTACCCCAGCAGGAGGCCGGCGAGAGCGCAGAGCGGCAGGGTTGTTTGCTCATTAAGACAAGAAAATCATTTATGTTCCGGGACTCGAGTGTCAACAGACCCAGGGAAATGTCGTTGCCTCAGCTGCCGCCCTCTGCCCCACCGAGGGGGAAGCTGAGGTCCCCCGCACAGCTGGCGAGGCACAGACGCCATCGGGACCTCGGGGAGCCAGGAGGCAGGACTGGGGTGGATGCTTGAGGTTTGGTGCGAGGAGAGGGTTCCGCGTTTCCCCCTGCCGCCTTCAGAGCTGCCCCCCGGTTCCCAAGCCGCGTCCCTCTCGGCTCGGCGGCACGCTGGAGGAAGGCAGGGACGCCCCTGGAGGCTGGGCTGTAAAGTAGGAGAGAAACTATTCTGCTCCAAGAAGAAAAGGAAGACGTGATCCAGTGAGCAGCAAAAACGCCGTGCCCTTTAAGGCCCCGCGCGGAGGCTCTATTTAGGGCGGAGGACATTCCGCGAGACCTCGGGCAGCCTTCACCGGGAGCGATCGCTAATCACTGCATTGAGTTTACGGGTGCCCCTGGGCACACTTAACCCAGGGCAATGAATAGTTATTGCGCGGCCTCCCGCCTGGGGCCTGTGGGCACACTTAAGCGAGCGCGCGGATCGCTGTGAGCGGGCACGGCTCGGGTACACCCTTGGGCACCCTGCGCCTTCAGCGGGGAGAGGCAGAGTATTAAATATCTATGTGCCCTGTGCCCACAGCTGCATTTAGCCAAGGGCAAGGCCAGTGAAACGGCTTTAATTAAAACTTAATGCAAGTTCAAGGTGTAGGTACAGAAGCGGGGGCTGCAGAAGTCACCAGGAATGAATCAGTCAATTCGATGAGGATCTCGGGTTGGAGGAAGAGGGTGGCGGGGAGGGGGAACTGGGGCAGCGGAGACCTGTCCTCTGTCTCGTGCGTGCCGCCCACCTCGCTGCGTCTGTGTTCTAGGACGTGGGACCACTGCGGGCTCCCACACCTCTCCTGGTGAAGGATGCTGGGCATCCAGGCTTAAAGGCAGGTCATTGGAGACAAAGCTGGCGCGTGGGGCCGTGAGCGGATCCTGCTTTTCTCAGCAACTCGGTCCAGTGTCGCGTGACACCGGCAACATCGTCCCCCTAGCGGCCGCTCCTAGAATTACAGGCCCAGGGCAGAGGGAGAAGTGACCAAGCTCCTGAATGTCAAAGAACCTGGTGGCAAGCTTCGGGATCTGGCGGTGGGGCCCTGCACTTCTTAGAAGGGCCAACACCAGGCTTGGCATGGCCAGTTGTGCCTCTAAAAAGACAAGTGGGCAGAGAAAGCCCTGCCCACTCATCTCCGGCTCAGAGTGGGGAAGCAAGAGAATCTCAGAGGGACCCACCCATCTGCCAAAGATGGCAGTGAGCCGGGCTCAGCTAGATGAGCTCAGGTCCCAGAGCCATGGCCAGGGGACTCTACCTGCCACAGCGCAGACCAGGTGAGAATACAATTATGAGCTCTTCCTGGAGCGAGTGTCCACATCTTATTCAAATCTCTCTCCTTAGCACCAGTAGCACTTAGCATACAGTAGTGCTTAATAAATGTTCGTTGAATGAATAGTGATCATCATAGGCAGGCTTTTGGCTCCAAACTCCTCCTTTCCTCCTCTCTCCCTTCCCCCTCCCTCCTC